TTTTTTTTTTCCCATCCCAGAGAATTGTTTTGTATGAATGCTGTACTTGAAAGAATTCATGCTTGAGGTATTAAAGTTCTTAGGTTCTCTCTTATTTGGAGATATGTGTGTGCATGCATGCACACACACATCCCACACTCCACTTAATTTATATTTAACAGAATTCCAGGATTACATGTTCCTGACTTACCGTAATTCTCGGTCTTTGCTGGACTTTTACTTTCTAAGTAGGCCCTTTAGGCCTAACTGGCTTTGGGCCAGTTCCAAATGTTAGCCCGTAAGGCTGGGGTGCCCGTGGGTTCGGTGTTGGCACCACCCACCGGGCGCGGGTACCAATCACAGTCCCTGTGGGTGATGGACTGCCCAGCACAGTCTTAAGTCTGATTGAGGTCACTGCTGGACCTTGGCGATTGGTCCAGGGGGAAGGCGCGCAACCAATGGGAGCCACAGCTCGCGAGAGTCTGGAGCGCGCGGGAAAAGGACCCATATAAACAGAGGCGGGAGAGTCACTTTCGGATCCGTGGCCACTGAATCACCGTCCACTAGCCCTTTCTCTTGTCTCCTGTTAGAACATGGTGCGGACTAAAGCAGACAGTGTCCCAAACACCTATAGAAAAGGTGAAGTGATGGAAGCGCGGGAGGAAAGAGTGGGGGGGGAGGCGCCTTCCTGTCCGTGGGTACGTGGAGTGGAGATGCCCGGGCTCTCTCTGACCCACTGCGCCTAACTCCAGCCTGGAAGCAGCTGCCTGGCCCCTTACCGGGCCGCTTGCACTTCTGAGGATCATGGGCTCTCCACTCCCAGCACTAGGTCTGATACTGCGTGTCTGAACCTTTCCAGCCGAGTCTGATTTTCCACTCATCCACTCCTCTGCCTTTCTTTGCAGTGGTGGCTTCCCGCGCTCCCAGGAAGGTGCTTGGTTCCTCCACCTCTGCCATCAACTCTCCATCTCCTTCATCCAGGAAAGGTAAGGAGTGCGCTTAGGTGTCTGGGGGCAAGAACACTCTGAAATGGGGCTTGGAAGCTTCAGGTCTCCCCAACAGAAACTGGATTTATACTCTTGCCTCCTCACACCCCTAGAATTTTACTTGGGGTTCTCACACTTAAATTTCTTCCTTCTCTTCTAAGAGGGGAGCCTTGGGCTTATAAAGCAGGCTGGGATGGGTGGGGAGGGTCCTTATGGAAGAGAATCTCAAGTGGAGGTCCATTTTTTTTTTTTTGCCTGGCATGGGGTTTGAACTCAGGGCCCAGGCACTGTCCCTGAGCTTCTTTTGCTCAAGGCTAACGCTCTCTACCACTTGAGCTATATAGTGCTACTTATGCTTTTTTTTTTTTTTTTTTGGTCCAGTTGTGGGGCCTGAACTCTGGGCCTGGGCGCTGTCCCTCAGCTCTTCAGCTCAAGGCGAGCACTCTACCACTTGAGCCACAGCGCCACTTCCAGCTTTTTTCTTTTTGCTTATGTGGTGCTGAGGAATTGAACCCAGGGCCTCATGCATGCAAGGCAAGCGCTCTACCACCGAGCCACCTTCCCAGCCCCAAGATTTAGTCTTTTATGAAGGATGTTGGGGATTGAATCCTAGGCCTTGTTCATGCTAGGCAAGTGCTCTACCACTAAGCCATATCCCCAAATCCTTGTCCTACATTTTTCTGCTTTTGTTTCTATGTGTGTTTTCCTTCCTTCCTTCCCCTCTCCTTCCATGTCTTGGTCTCTCCCTCCTGGTCCTTCTCTCTGCCCCCCCACTCTCCTGCTTTTTTCTGCCAGTCCTGAGGCTTGAACTCAGGGCCACGGTGCTGTCCCTAAGCTTCTGTGCTCAAAGCTAGCACTCTACCCCTTGAGCTACAGCACCACTTCTGGCTTTTTTTTTTTTTTATGTGATACTGAGGAATCAAACCCAAGGCTTCATGCATGCTAGGCAATCACTCTACCACTCTACCACATTCCCAGTGTGTCTCTTTGAATGTGGTGTCTTTGTATTTTCTAACTTTGTAGTACCTGATACTACAGGTAAAAGAAATAGCTTCATACTGTCCTATTGCCTGGGGAGCAGATGAGAAAATGTCTTGCCATCAGATGTTACAATCCTTTCTCTAGAAGTTGATCAGGCTGACATTGCTCATTGTGTTCCAGGAAGCATTGTTTAGGCCTCATTGTGTGTGTGTGTGTGTGTGTGTGTGTGTGTGCGTGCGCGTGCGTGCGTGCCAGTGCAATCCTGGGGCTTGAACTCAGGGCCTGGACTTTGTCTTTAAGATTTTCCTTCCTTCCTTCCTTCCTTCCTTCCTTCCTTCCTTCCTTCCTTCTCTTTTCTCCCTCCCTCCCTCCCTCCCTCCCTCTCTCCTTCCCTCCCTCCCTCCTTCTCCTCTCTCTCTCTTTCTGTCTTTCTTTCTTTTTCTTTCTTTGGTTCCCAGTCTTGGAACTTGAATCAGGGTTTGGGCACTGTCCCTGACCTTCTTTGTACTCAAGGCTAGCGCTCTACCACTTTAGCCACAGCACCATTTTTGACTTTCTCGACTTTCTTGCCTGGGCTGGCTTCAAACTGCAATCCTCAGAAATCCCTCTCCTGAGTAGCTAGGATTACAGGTGTGAGCCATCAGTGTGCCCAGGTAGCTTTTATAAATATAATCTTATTGTTATTTTAAGGTGTTATATAGAGGGGTTACCACTTCATAAGTCGGGTAATGAGTACATTTCTTTTTGGGCTATGACCCTAGCTTTTTTGCTCAAAGTTAATACTGTACAACTTAAGGCACAGCTCCACTTCAGCTTTTTATGGTATGTAACTGGAGATATGAATCTCAGGGACTTTCCTGCTTAGGGTGGCTTCAAACACCATGGTTCTCAGATCTTAGGCTCCTGAATAGCTAGGATTACAAGTATGAACCATTGGCACCAGCTTTAAGGTTAATTAGTAGTACACTTATTTTAAGACAGAGTCTCACTATGTAGCACATGCGATCTTCATACTCTTCAATCCTGCCTCAACCAGTGCTGACTGCTGAGATTACAAGTATGTACTTCCAAGCCCTAAATTTTACCCTACTCTGAAAACCTAATTAGAAAATACTTGCTATTTCAAGAGCTGGGAATGTGGCTTAGTGGCAGAATGTTTGTCTAGCATGCATGAAGCTCTGGGTTTGATTCGTCAGTACCATATAAACAGAAAAAGCTGGAAGTGGCATTGTGTCTCAATTGGTAAAGTGCTAGCCTTGAGCAAAAAAAGCTCAGGGACAGCACCCAGGCCTGAGTTCAAGCCTCAGGGCTGGCCAAAAAAAAAAAAAGAAAGAAAAGAAAAAGAAAATACTTGCTATTTTAGTCTCTTCACAGATGAGACTAATAAATGAAGTGTTTTTTTTTTTTGTTGTTGTTGTTTTGTTGGTTGGTCATGGGGCTTGAACTCTGGGTGCTGTCCCTCAGCTTTTCAGCTCAAGGCGAGTGCTCCACAACTTGAGCCACATTGCCACTTCCGGTTTTCTGGTGGTTTATTGGAGATAAGAGTCTCTTGGAGTTTCCTGCCCAGGCTGGCTTTGAACCATGATCCTCAGATCTCAGCCTCCTGAATAGTGAGGATTACAGGCGTGAGCCACCGGCGCCCCGCTGAAGTGTTTGAAAATAAATGAATTGGGACTGGGAATGTGGCTTAGTGGTAGAGGGTTTGCCTAGCATGTATGAAGCCGTGGATTTGAATCCTCAGTATCACATAAAAAAGTAGTACAGTGCTAGCCTTGAGCAAAAGAAGCTCAGGGACAGTGGGGAGGCCCCGAGTTCAAGCCCTGGGACTGGCAAAAAAAAAAAAAGGAAGGAAGGAAAGAGATGAGTTTATCTAGAATATTTTACACATTTTATTGTCTGTCTCACTTCTTAATCATCAGAGCCAACTGAATTGGTCCTTAATGTGAGTTTATATGTGTATATATATATATATATATATAATTTTTTTTTTTTTTTTGTCGGTGGTGGGGCCTGAACTCTGGGCCTGGGCGCTGTCCCAGCTCTTCAACTCAAGGCTAGTGCTCTACCACTTGAGCCATAGCACCACTTCCAGCTTTTACTACTTATGTGGTACTAAGGAATGGAACTCAGGGCTTCATGCATGCAAGGCAAGCCACCTTCCCAGCCCCTAAAACCTTTTAAAACTTCACAGAGGTCAGTTGGGTGCCAGTGGATAACACCTGTAATCCTAGCTACTCAGGAGGCTGAGATATTAAGGATCATAGTTAGAAGCCAGGACAGGAAAGAAATTCTGAGATTCTTAGGGCCAATCAAACACCAAAAAAGCCAGAAGTAGAGCTGTGGCTCAAGTTGTAGTACGCAAAAGCTCAGGTGCAACACCAAGGGCCCCTGAGTTCAAGCACCAGGACTGACATACATACCAAAAAACCTTCACAGATGATCATCTTCTTCCTCCTCTTTCTCCTCCTCTTCCTTTTCCTTCTTCTTCCTCTTCCTCTTCTTCCTTTTCTTCTATACAAAAAACCTTCACAGATCTTCCTTTTTTTTTTTTTTACTTTGTCGGTCGTGGGGCTCAAGCCTGGGCGCTGTCCCTCAGCTCTTCCACTCAAGGTTAGCGCTGTATCACTTGAGCCACAGTGCCACTTCTGAATTTTTCTGCTTATGTGGTGCTGAGGAATCGAACCCACCGCTTTATGCACGCAAGGCAAGCACTCTATCACTGATCCACCTTCCCAGCCCGGAGGTGTTGTTTTTTGTTTTTTGTTTTTTTTGTCGGTCATGGGGCTTGAACTCTTGGTTTGGGCACTGTCCCTGCACTTTTCAACTCAAGGCTAGCGCTCTACTGCTTGAGCCACATCACCATTTCCACTTTTCTGGTGGTTTATTGGAGATAAGAGTTTCACGGACTTTCCTGCCTGGGCTGGCTTTGAACCGTGATCCTCAGCTCTCAGCCTCCTGAGTAGCTAGGATTATAGGCATGAGTCACCGGCGCCCGGACTGAGGTTTTTGTTTTTTATATTTTTGCCGGTCCTATTGAATTCAGGGTTTGGGCACTGTTTGTGATCTTTTGTGCTCAACTCTAGTATTTTACCACGTGAGACACAGCTCCATTTCTGGCTTTTTGGTGGGTTAATTGGAGATAAGAGTCTCACGGACTTGCCTCTTGAATAGCTGGGAGTACAAGTACAAATGTAAGCCACTGGGGGCGCTGTGTGTGTGTGTGTGTGTGTGTGTGTGTGTGTGTGTGTGTGTGTGTGTGTGTGTATGTGTGTGTGTGTGTGTGTGTGTGTGTTTATTTTTGTCAGTTGTGGGGCTTGAACTCAGGGCTTAGACACTGTCTCTGAACCTGGAAGTAGCCACAGTGCTACTTCCAGTTTTCTGATGGTTAATTGGAGATGAGAGTCTCACGGACTTTCCTGCCTAGGCTGGCTTTGAACTGTGATGCTCGGCTCTTAGCCTCCTGAGTAGCTAGGATTATAGGCATGAGCCACCATTGCCTGGTGGAGTTTACTCTTATGGAACTTTTATATCGTCTTATATAGGCTTTAATTAAAATTACATTATAAAGTGGAATTAGGGGCACGTGGCTCATGCCTGTAATCCCAGCTATCTCCAATAAAATACTAAAAAAAAAGCCAGAAGTGGAGCTTTTGCTCAAGTGGTAGAATACTAGCTCAAAGACAGCACCCAGGCCCTGAGTTTGAACACCAGTACCAGAAAAAAAAAAAAAAAAGTAGAATTAGGGCAATTTTGTTATGCAAGGTGTATCAGGAAAAAGTACAGCAAATTTTAGTGTGACTATATCATAAAGACTCATGAATAGCTCTACTTCTGAACAAAATATCAAAAATCAGTTTTCATTTGTAAAAATTCTGTTACTGCTGGGTGCTGAATGCTCACAATTGTAATACTAGCTACTCAGGAGGCTGAGAGTTGGAAGCCAGTTCAGGCCGAAAAATCCATCAGATTCCATTTCCTTAATAACCAGCAAAAAGCAAGGTTGTAAATGTGACTGAAGTGGTCTAGTGCTGGGTGAATAAGACCCTGAGTTTAAACCCCAACATCACCCCCCCAAAAAAAAACAAACTGTTACAATGGCTTTTCTCAGATAACTACCAAATTGAGCTTGTTGACTGAATATATCTTTTTTTTTTTTTTTGTCGGTCCTGGGGCTTGAACTCTGGGCCTGGGCGCTGTCCCTCAGCTCTTCAGCTCAAGGCAAGCACTCTACCACTTGAGCTACAACTCCACTTCCGGTTTTCTGGTAGTTTATTGGAGATAGGAGTCTCACGGTCTCTCCTGCCTGGGCTGGCTTTGAACCGCGATCCTCAGATCTCAGCCTCCTGAGTAGCTAGGATTACAGGCGTGAGCCACCAGCGCTCGTCTCTGACTGAATATATCTTTATTGTATCTATTTTCTATTTTTTAAGAGGATGTATGATTACTTGATACCTTTGAGGGTCTGTAAGTAATTAAGTTTTATCAGGAGTTGTGACACATACCTGCAGTCCCATCACTTGAGTGGTTTGAGATAGGAAGATGAAGAATCAGAAGCTGGTATCCAGTGAATTCAAGGCAGCCTGCAGTATAGAATGAAACCTTGTCTCAAAACAAGAAAACAAAGGAAAAGAGTTAAGTTCTTTAAAGAGTGGCATAATATTCTTAGTTCTTACTTAGGTCTGCTTATGTTTTACAGCTGAAAACAAGTATGCAGGAGGGAATCCAGTTTGTGTACGCCCAATTCCCAAGTGGCAAAAAGGAATTGGAGAATTCTTCAGTATGTCTCCTAAAGGTTCAGAAAAAGAAAATCAGTTTCTTGAAGAGGCAGGACCGAGTGGCTTAGGAAAAGCAAAGAAAAAGTAAGTTTTTGGGTTTTGAATATAAAAGAAAATATTCTTTGGGAAATACAGGACAAACAGAATATTGAGTAACATTTCTTTTCAAGCCAATAAGAAAATACAAACCGGGGCTGGGAAGGTGCCTCAGTGGTAGAGTGCTTGCCTTGCATGCATGAGGCCCCGGGTTCGATTTGTCAGCACCACCTAAGCAGAAAAAAAAAAGAGAGAGAGAGATCAAGCCGGGCACCAGTGGCTCACGCCTGTAATCCTAGCTACTCAGGAGGCTGAGATCTGAGGATCACGGTTCAAAGCCAGCCTGGGCAGGAAAGTCTGTGAGACTCTTACATCCAATAAACCACTAGAAAACCAGAAGTGACATTATGGCTCAAGCAGTAGAGTGCTCACCTTGAGCTGCAGAGCTGAGGGATAGCGCCTTAGCCCACAGTTCAAGCCTCAGGACTGACAAAAACAAAAAGAGAATCAGTTCCCATTCAGGTAACTGCTACATTTTTTTTAACTGTCATTTTAGAAGACGGTTTCCATTTATCTTGAATTCCATTAAATTGCCTGCATCTTAAAGAATAAAAGCTTGGAGCCGGGCGCCAGTGGCTCAAGCCTGTAATCCTAGCTACTCAGGAAGCTGAGATCTGAGGATCATCGTTCAAAGCCAACTCGAGCAGGAAACTCCCTGAAACTCTTATCTCCAATAATCCACCAGAAAACCGGAAGTGGTGCTGTAGCTCAAGTGGTAGAGTGCTAGCTAGCCTTGAGCTGAAGAGCTGAGGGACAGCACTCAGGCCCAGAGTTCAAGGCCCACAACTGATTTTTTTTTTAAAAAAAAAAGCAAGAATAAAAGCTTGCTGGGCACTGGTGGCTCACACCTGTAATCCTAGCTACTCAGAAGGCTGAGATCTCAGGAAAACGGTTCAGAGCCAGCCTGGGCAGGAAAGTCTGTGAGATTCTTATCTCAAATTAACCACCAGAAAACCGGAAATGGTGCTGTGGCTCAAGCAGTAGAACACTCACCTGGAGCTAAAGAGCTGAGGGAAAGCTCTCAAGGCCCACAGCCGACCAAAAAAGAAAACAAAAGAAAAACAAGAATAAAGCTGTTAGTTAGGGCCTGTGGTATAGCCTGTACTTAGTATTCATGGTGTTCTGGGTTCAATCTCCAGCACCAAAATAAGAAGAAACCATCAGTTGAAAGCCACTCCCCCCCAAATATATATCTTATACATATAATGCAATGTGTGTATAGATACACATAATATATACACAATGTATGAATATATATACAATGTAGAAAAAATGAAATATAGAAATTCCTACCACTAGGGGCTGGGAAGGTGGCTCAGTAGTAGAGTGCTTGCCTTGCATGGTTGAGGCCCTGGGTTCGATTCTCAGCACCACATAAGCAGAAAAAGCCAGAAGTGGTGTTGTGGCTCAAGTGGTAGAGTGCTAGCCTTGAGCTGAATTGCTGAGGGACAGCGTTCAGGCCCCAAGACTGGCAAAAAAAAAAGAAATTCCCCTCCAAAAAAGAAAGAAAGAAAGAAATCCCTACCACTAAAAACAACTAAAACTAATACCATAATGTATTTACTTTACAACTTCTTTATAAATACTCTAGAATACTTCAAAACAAAAAGCAAAGTAGGGTACTGGTGGCTCATGCCTGTAATCCTAGCTACTCAGGAGGCTGAGATCTGGGGATCATAGTTCAAAGCCAGCCTGGGCAGGAAAGTCCATAGAAACTATCTCCAGTTAACCACCAGAAAACCAGAAGTGATGCTATGGCTCAAAGTGGTAGAGAGCTAGGTTTGAGTTAAAAAGCTCAGGGACAGTGCCCAAGCCCTAAGTTCAAGCCCTACAGTTGGAGAAAAAAAAAAAAAAGAGGGATAAAACTATATATACTGACCAGTATGCAGACTTTTTAGAGGCTGAGGGTTGAGTGTTTTGCTCAATGGCAAAGCATTGGTCTAGTATATTCAAGGTCCTGGGTTCAATCCCCAGAATTGTATGGAAATAATAATAAAAAATATGAATATGAATCATTTTTTTTTTTTGGTCCAGTGTGGGGCTTGAACTCTGGGCCTGGGTGCTGTCCCTCAGCTCTTAACAAGTGCTCTACAACTTGAGCCACAGCGCCACTTCTAGTTTTCTGGTGGTTAATTGGAGATAAGACTCTCACAGACTTTCCTGTCTGGGCTGGCTTTGAACCATATTCTAATATCTCAGCCTCCTGAATAGCTAGGATTACAGGCGTGAGCCACTAGCACCTGGCTGAATCATGCTTTTAAAGTTTTTAATGACTTGCAAATGCCTGTGATAAATGTTAAGACACACATTCTGGACATAATTGTCCAATCTTGACTGTGTAAAATGCACATGTGAGTGCTATATGAAAATATAACAGCTAGATGCTGGTAGCTATCGAGATTCAAAGCCAGCCTGGGCAGCAAAGAATGTGAGACTCATCTGCAATTAACTATCTAAAAACTAGAAGTGGAGCTGTGGCTCAAAGTGGTAGAGTTCTAGCCTTGAGCAAAAAAAAGAAATTCAGGGAGAGTGCCCAGGCCCTGAGATAAAGCCCTATGATTGACCCCCATCCCCCCAAAAAAGGCAAGAAAATATAACAAGTATCGGTCATGGTTATTTTTAGGTAAAAACCTCCTCTGGTACTTAGTGCTGCTAACTTGCAACAACAAGCATGTATTTTCAGTATCAAGTAAAAAGCTGGGCACTGTTGGCTCATGCCTGAAATCTTAATCAGGAGGTTGAGATCTGAGGATGAAAGTTTGAAGCTAGCCCAAGAAAACAAATCCTCGACTCATCTCCAATTAACCAGAAAAAAAAAAAAAAAAAAAAGTGAGCTGGTGATACACAGTTCAAGTGGTAAAGCCCTAATACCAACACATATAGACACACAAAATTACTAAAAAGATAAAGATGGGCTGGGAAGGTGGCTCAGTGGTAGAGTGCTTGCCTCTCATGCATGAAGCTCTGGGTTGGATTCCTCAGTATCACATAAACATAAAAAGTTGAAAGTGGTGATGTGGATTAAGTGGTAGAGTGCTAGACTTGAGCAAAAAGAAGCATTAGGGATGGTGCTTAGGCCCTGAGTTCAAGCCCCAGAACTGGCAAAAAAAAAAAAAAAAGATGAAGATGTAGCTCAAGGGTAATGTGCTTATTTACCATAAGCAAGGCTCTGGGTTTGTTCTCCAGCATTAAGAAAAAAAAAAAATTGCCAGGTGCCGGTGGCTCACACCTGTAATCCTAGCTACTCAGGAGGCTGAGATATGAGGATCACAGTTCAAAGCCAGCCCCAGCAGGAAAGTCTGTGAGACTCTTATCTCCAATAAACAAGAAGTGGCGCTATGGCTCAAGCAGTAGAGTGCTTGCTTTGAGCTGAAGAGCTGAGGGACAACGCCCAAACCCATAGTTCAAGCCCCATGACCCACCAAAAAAAAAAAAATTTTTTTTTTTAAAGACTTGGAATGTGGCTTAGTGGTGGAGTACTTGCCTAGCATGCAGGAAGCCCTGGGTTCAATTCCTCAGTACCATATACACAGAAAAAGCTGGAAGTGGCCCTGTGGCTTAAGAGATAGTGTGCTAGACGTGAGCCAAAGAAGCTCAGAGACAGGGTCCAGACCCTGAGTTGAAGCCCCAGGACTGGCCAAAAAAAAAAAAAAATCTGGAGGAAAAATTCTGTAATGTGTCTTTTCATAGGTTTATTAAACAATAGGACCCAACCTCTCTAAGTTGCTTTTAAAATGTTTTCTTTAAAGGCTGTGTATTTGACTAGGTGCAGGAGGGGAGGGGTAGCACTATGTCACTGTCAATTGTGATGCCCCTTGCATATGACAGCTTTGCCACCTCCACAGTAGCCAGGAACCATAAGATCTGTCAACCCACCAAGCACCAAGCTGTACATAGCAGATCTACCCACAAGGGTAAGAAGATGGGGACTAGGCTCATCCTAGGGCTGCTAATTCTGACACTGGTTCTTCCCATGTAGATTTACTCATATGTTCCTTTAGTCAGCACACCAGGTGCTACATATTATGAGTCCACAAAGCCTTCCCTTCCAGCAGTTTCCTTAAAATTGCTTCAGCCACTCTCCCAGTGGTGTTACTTGCCCTTCTGTATCTCATCTGGTAAGAGACTCAGGCTAATACATATTCTGAAACACAACCCAATGGCACCTACAAGTCCTGTTGCCAAGAAAAATGAAATGAGATCTTCATGAAATTGAATGCTAAAACAAAATCTTGGGAGTCTCTCTGGACTGGTTGAAGACCATATGAAGGATTTATATCTAAAGGATTTTTTTTGGGTCCAGTCCTGAGGCCTGAACTCTGGGCATGGGCACTGTCCCTCAGCTTTCAGCTCAAGGCTAGTGCTCTACCACTTGAGCCACAGCACTACTTCCGGCTTTTTTCTTTATGTGGTGCTGAGGATTCGAACCCAGGGCTTCATGCATGCAAGGCAAGCGCTCTACCACTGAGCCACCTTCCCAGCCCCAACATCTAAAGATTTATGTGTAGGACTGAAGAGAAAACCAGTATCAAAAATCAGTTCATGATTTCATGAAATGTGGCTTAAGAAATTCGGACTCTTGGACTGGGAAGTTGGCTCAGTGGTAGAGCGCTTGCCTTGCATGCCTGAGGCCCTGGGTTCGATTCCTCAGCACCACATAAGCAAAAAGAAAAAAGCCGGAAGTGGCGCTGTGGCTCAAGTGGTAGAGCGCTAGCCTTAAGCTGAAGAGCTGAGGGACAGCGCCCAGGCCCAGAGTTCAGGCCCCACGATGGGACCAAAAAAAAAAAGAAATTCGGACTCTTTGCCAGATGCCTGTGGCTCACACCTGTAATCCTAGCTACTCAGGAGGTTGAGATGTAAGGATTGCAGTTCAAAGCCAGCCCAGCAGGAAAGTCAGTCATGGGGCTTGAACTCTGGGCCTGGGCGCTGTCCCTCAGCTCTTCAGCTCAAGGCAAGCGCTCTACCACTTGAGCTACAGCGCCACTTCTGGTTTTCTGGTGGTTTATTGGAGATAGGAGTCTCAAGGTCTCTCCTGCCCGGGCTGGCTTTGAACCGTGATCCTCAGATCTCAGCCTCCTGAGTAGCTAGGATAACAGGCATGAGCCACCAGCGCCCGGCTTAGTTTTAGTAAGTTTTAAGCCAATATTTGCCATTTTCACAAACCTACAGTATAGGAACAACCAGATCTAACAGACCCCAAGCTATGTACTGTATTTGGGGCTTGAACTCAGGATTTGAGCACTGTCCCTGAGCTTTTTTTACTCAGGCTAGCACTCTACCACTTGAGCCCCAGCACCACTTCTGTTTCTGTTTATGTGGTGCTAGGAATCGAACCCAGGACTTCATGCATGGTAGGCAAGCACTCTACCACAAAGCCACATTCCAGAACACATTTAAAACAATTTACTTTATTGTTATTATAGAAATGATGCACAAAAGGGTTACATTTACATGAGTGAGGTAAAAAGTACATTTCCTTTTGTACAGTGTCATCTGTTCCCTCATCCTCTCCCATTCCCTTTCTCCCAGCTTCACTCACAAGTTGTATAACTCACTTTCATCAGTGTCCAGTGCACTCCACTGTTGCACTTTTTTACCCTTTTTCTTGAGTTATGTGCCCTGCCCCCTCGCACTCCTGCAGATATATTCATGAATACACTGGATATAAGGTAAACAATGCAGAATCATCAGAAAAAGGAAAAACAAATTAAAGTTTTGTTTCCATATCTTAGGAATTCCAGAACACACTTTAATCTTCAAATTGTTTATTACTTGCATGAATGAAATAAAATCATTGGCATTACAGTCAACTGTGGATCTAATATTAATCATCACAGGAATAAAACAGGAATAAAGTTCATGAACTTTGCATACATGGAGATTATACAGATTATACAGATATTCTCATAAGCAACCTCAATTCATAGTATATTGTCTGTGATATAATATTTACATTGTTTTAGGTTTCTTAGATTTGCTTTCATATAGCAGAGTCGTAATTACTTTATAGAAATAGCAAATGGGGTTATTAAGAGGAATATGAACTTTTTTTTTTTTTTGCCCGTCCTGGGGCTTTAACTCAAGGTGTAAGGAATGTCTCTGAGCTTTATACTTCAGGCTAGTGCTTTACCATTTGAGGCACAGCACCACACCATCACTTCTGGTGTTTTCTGAGTAGATTATTGGAGGTAAGAGTCTCACAGACTTTCCTGCTTAGGCTGGCTTCAAACCGCAATCCTCGGGCTGGGAAGGTGGCTCAGTGGTAGAGCCCTTGCCTTGCATGCATGAGGCCCTGGGTTTGATTTCTCAGTACCATATAAGCAGAAAAAAAAAAGCCGGAAGTGGCGCTGTGGCTCAAGTGGTAGAGCACTAGCCTTGAGCTGAAGAGCTGAGGGACAGTTCACAGGCCCAGAGTTCAGGCCTACAACTGGACCCAAAAACAAACTGCAATCCTCAAATCTCAGCCTCCTGAGTAGCTAGGATTATAGGTGTGAGCCACCAGCACCCCGTGGAGTATGAACTTCTGAATTTATATTCTGAAATAGTTATTTCAAGGGCCTGATTTTTCTCCCCAAATCAGGGTAAGCTTCTCTCAATTGCAGGGGGAAGAGTAAGAATCAAGAATGACTATCTGCTTAAATTTTTTTTTTTTTGGCAGTCCTGGGGCTTGAACTCAGAGCCTGGGCACTGTCCCTGAGCTTCTTTTGCTCAAGGCTAGCATTCTACTACTTGAGCCACAGCGCTACTTCCAGCTTTTTCTGTTTATGTGGTAATGAGGAATTGTACCCAGGGCTTCATGCATGCTAGGCAAGCACTCTACCACTAAAGCCACATTCTCAGCCCTTTGCTTAAATTGTGACTAGAACTATAATGTCCAAAGTAATTGGTCCTTGCCAAAAGAAGTCTGGATCATGATAGTATTCACTTGTTAGCATTAATTTCTAGAAAAGTACATTGAAAAGTGGAGCTGTGGCTCTTAAGTGATAGCTCTACCTTTGAGCAAAAGAGGTCAGAGACAAGACCCAAGCCCTGAGTTCAAGCCCCATAACTGCCACCACCACCACCAAGAAAGAATCAGCAAAAGTACAGTGAAGACCTGTTAGTAATCTATTATCATTAGATACCAACTCTGAATAGTTCTGTGATAGTTTTTATTTCCTTTTTAAATAAAAATGTCAGGCTGTAGATGTGGCTTAGTGGTAGAGTACGTGCATAGAATGCATGAAGCTCTGGGTCTGATTCCTCAGAACCATTATAAACAGAAAAGGCCAGAGGTGGTGCTGTGGCTCAAGGGGTAGAGTACTACCCTTGAGCACAGACAGGCTCAGGGACAGTGCCCAGGCCCTGAGTTCAAGCCCCAGGACTGGCCAAAAAAAAAGGAAAGTCATTGTAACCAAATAGAAACCATCATTCCTCCAAAACAAAAGTCAAACAAATTAAGTTTTGCTTTTGCATTAATACTTGAAATTTGTAGATTTTTTTGCAAAGTAATGGGCTTTCCTTTGCAAGTCATTTGAGTAGATCTATAATACTTTAATGTTCCTGATGTATGTTTTTAACTATTTTATTAAACAGTTGATACTTAGGTAACTATTAAAGTTCTCTATTCTTTTTACAGAACATGTCCTTTGCAACCTGATCACTCAGATGATGAAAAAGAATAGAACTTTATTATTCATCTTTGAATAATGTCTTGTGTTTACTCTGGTATCCTAGAAGTGTATGAAGATGTTTGTCCAACTGGCTTTGTTAAATAGGCATTTAATTTAGAAAATGAGGCAAAGACTTAATTGTTAAAAAGTAATTGTGAATTGAAGAATTTGTAAAATTATAGCTACTTGTTTAGCTCATTATTCAAGTTAATGCAATATGTTGTTTCTTTGATCTAGTATTAAGCTTCTGTTCTCATAAAAAATCAGATTTCATCATCTAATTACTAATCTGCTACTTTGAGGTTTGTTTAGATTTGTACTGATGCCATTTTTATGAACATTTGATTATTGGAATGGGGCCATATTTCTATTCCTTTTGTTTGCTTTAAGAGAAAACACAGACTTTTGCACATCAAAGAATTCAGTGTAACTTAAATTTAAATAACATCTATCATTTTTCGGAAAGGGAGGCCAAAGGCATAATGTTGAAAAAAATGATGGGTATCTTTTTAAAAATTGTTCAAGACAGGTCTGGGAAGGTGGCTCAGTGGTAGAGCGCTTGCCTTCCACGCCTGAGGCCCTGGGTTCAATTTCTCAGTACCACATACGTAAAAAGAAAAAAAGCCGGAAGTGGCGTTGTGGCTCAAGTGGTAGAGCACTAGCCTTGAGCTTAAGAGCTGAGGGACAGCGCCCAAGCCCAGGGTTCAGGCCCCACAAACGGACCCCCCCCCAAAAAAAAATGTTCAAGACATTTTGGTCTTAAGTTTAAATGAGTGATAATGAAAGCTTCTAAAACATCAGCAAAGAGACAAAAAACTAGCATAGAATCTGCAAAACAAATTACATATGTAGACTTCGTTAAGAGTAGAATTTTCTTTTTTTAATTAAAAGAAAAAATTTATTACTTTTTTTTTTTAATGTGGTACTGAGGAATCAAATCCAGGGCCTCATGCAGGCTAGGCAAGTACTCTATTACTAAGCCACATTCCCAGCCCCAAGACTAGCATTTTCTTTTTCTTTTTTTTTTTTGGGTCCGGTCATGGGGCCCGAACTCTGGACCTGGGCACTGTCCCTCAGCTCTTCAGCTCCAGGCTAGCGCTCTACCACTTGAGCCATAGCGCCACTTCCGGCTTTTTTCTTTTTTTGCTTATGTGGTGCTGAGGAATGGAACTCAGGGCCTCAGGCATGCAAGGCAAGCGCTCTACCACTGAGCCACCTTCCCAGCCCAAGACTAGCATTTTCTTTAGGTATGCTTTTAATATCAAAGAATTACCCTTTGGGCTTATAATTTTCAAATTGTATATTAATAAAACTTGATAGGCAAATCAAAACGTAAGCCCAGAGCTACACCTAAAATCCTGGTGTTCCTATTCCATTTCTTTTTTAAAAAATCATAATATGAGCCGGGCGCTGGTGGCTCACTCCTGTAATCCTAGGTACTCAGGAGGCAGAGATCTGAGGATCGCAGTTCAAAGCCAGCCCGGGCAGGAGAGACCTTGAGACTTCTATCTCCAATAAACCACCAGAAAACCGGAAGTGGCGCTGTAGCTCAAGTGGTGGAGCGCTCGCCTTGAGCTGAAGAGCTGAGGGACAGCGCACAGGCCGAGTTCAAGCCCCACAACCAACCAAAAAAAAAAAATCATAATATGTAATAAGTATACAAATATAAGTATATATCATTTTTTTCCTACAACTTTTTTTTTGTGAAAATACTGTACAGAGGGGTTACAATTACATGGGCAAGATAATGAGTCTATTCCATTTCTTAAAATAATCAGTGATAGCGGGGCACCAGTGACTCATGCCTGTAATCCTAGTTATTCAGAAGGCTGAGATCTGAGGATCATGGCTCAAAGCCAGCCTGGGCAGGAATGTCCATGAGACTCTTATCTCCAATTAACCACCAGAAAACCGGAAGTGTCAATGTGGCCCAAGTGGTAGAATACTACGCTCACCTTGAACTGAAGAGCTTAGGGACAGCACCTAGGCCCAGAGTTCAACCCCACAACCGCAAAAAAAAAAAAAAAAAATCAATGATATAACTGAAGAGAGATGGGTATAATGTTTGTTAATTCATTCTTGCTTCCTCATCATACTTTTTGTTTACTGATAGACTGTCAGTTTTCAAAACTATCCATGTTTTACCAGGCAAGTTTTTGTGAAATTTGTTTGAAATAAATGACTACTTCCTTCACAATAGTGTCCACTTGTGTACTACCTGATATTAATATATATATATTCCAAATATAAATAAGTGCATCAGTCTGATTTTTATTAATTTCAAAAACAGTTCTGAGACCTGATTACTTTGAGTTAAATTGTCTTTTGCAGGTGAATACTAAGCATGATTTTTCCCCCTAAGTATATTTTTGATAATAAGGTCTTCTTTCTCTTACTGACCTCCCTTTCTCCTTCTCTCTTTTAGATAGTGCATTGTTATGTAAACTCTCTGCCAAGTCTAGATCTTCCTGACTCATTTTCTCAAGTACTGAGATTGCAGTTGTCTGGCCACCACACTGGACATATCATTTTTTAAAAAAGCATCAAAATAAACCCAAAAAAGGAAGCCTAAACACAACGTTTCTCATATATAGTTTATAAATTCTATTGCATTTAGAACTCTTCATATTAATTCACTTTCAAAAAACTGAAGGTAGAGTTGGGGAGTAGTCCAACCCAGAATTGTTACATTTGTTCCTTTTAGCTTTTCTTTTCTTTTTTTTTCAGTTGTGGGGCTTGAACTCAGGGCCTGGGCACTGTCTCTGAGCTCTTTTGCTGAAGACTAGTGCCCTGTCACTTTGAGCCACAGCTCCACTTCAGTTTTTGTTGTTGTTTTTTTTCCCCAGGGGTTAATTGGAGGTAAGAGTCTAGTGGGGACTTTTCTTCCCTGGCTGGTTTTGAACCACTTATCCTCAGATCTCAGCCTTCTGAGTATCTGAGGATATATCTGTAGCCTTACCATACTAAGGCTTTATATTCTACATTCTATTTATGTCACTTACATACCTAGGCTAGTTCCACTGGGGGATTGAATTATATATTGCTTAAACACACAATACTGTAAATTTGACTTTCTTCAAATGGGCCCTAATTATTTATTAGCTTTCCCTTCAGTCTTTGTATCTTTTGCATTTGGAGATACCAATGGAACTTTGAACAGGGTTTTTTTTTTGGGGGGGGGTCCGGTCGTGGGCCTGAACTCTGGGCCACCTTCCCAGCCCTGTATTTAATCATTTTTAAATATCCCTGTTAATGTGTTGGGAAGGTGGCTCGGTGGTAGAGCGCTTGCCTTGCACGCCTGAGGCCCTGGGTTCGATACCTCAGCACCACATAAGCAAAAAGAAAAAAGCCGGAAGTAGTGCTGTGGCTTGAGTGGTTAGAGCGCTAGCCTTGAGCTGAAGAGCTGAGGGACAGCGCCCAGGCCCAGAGCTCAAGCCCCACAACTGGACCCCCCCCCAAAAAAAAAGATTAAATATTAGGAAGCTGCGTGCTGGTAGTTCACACCTATAATCCTAGCTACTTAGAAGACTGAGATCTGAGAATCACAGATTACTAGGCAGGAAAGTTTGTGAGACTCATATCCATTTAACCACCAAAAAGCCAGAAGTAGCTTTTTGAGCCACTTGAGGCTGAAGTGATGGAACAAAAATCTCAGGGACAATACCCAGGCTCTGAGTTCTTAGGACAGGCACAAAAATGAAAAAGAATATTGGGTCAGCGGGCTGGTGGTCCATGACTATAATCCTAGTTTCTCAGAAGGCTGAGATGTAAAGTGATTCAAAGCTAGCATGGGTAGGAAAGTCTGTGAGACTCATTTCCAGTTAACCATCCAAAGAGCTAGAAGTGGATGTGTGACTAAAGTGATAGCCTTGGGCAAAAAAGCTCAGGGTCCTGAGTTCAAGCATCAGTACTATGCACAAGAAAAAAGAAAGTATTAGGTTTCCCCAAAATAAATGTTAAACCTGCCAATTCTGTGATATACTGGCTTGCAAAAGGTATGTGGCAGTAGTGTTTTAACATTCATATTAACAATATTGATTTGTGGCCCTGGCACAGGTGGCTCAAGCTGATAATCATCACTACTCAGGAGGCTGAGATCTGAGGATTGAGGTTCAAAGTCAGCCCAGGCAGGAAAGGCTTTGCGACTCCTATCTCCAATTAACCAGCAGAAAATTGGAAGTGGAGCTGTGGCTCAAAGTGGTAGAGTACTAGCCTTGAGCACAAAAGCTCTCCACAGTGCCCAGGCCCAGAGGTCAAGCCCTATGACTGACAAAAGAATTGATTTCTCACCCAGGTGCTAGTGGCTCACACCTGTAATTCTCACTACTACTTGTGGCTCAAGTGGTAGAGTGCCAGCCTTGAGCCAAGAAGGTGAGGCCCCGGACTCAAGCCCCAGTACCAGCACAGGGCATGTGTGTCTACACATACATACATATACAAGTATAGATTTCTCTGATATTTTTCATAGAATCCTAAAAGTATAGTTGAACTCATGCTTAGTTTTAAATGGGCATCTTACTTTCCCTGTTTAGTAGTCTCTAAGTAGTGAGAATATTGGAAATGCAAGAATTACAGAAGTCATGAGATCACCTGGGAGTCAGGCCAGTTATTTACATACCTATGCAAAAGTGACTGAAAAAGTTAAAAGCCAACTATAGGAAGAGGGAATAAAAACAAATCCTGCCTATGAGTAATTTTTCTTCTGGCAATGCATAAAATGATTAATGGATAGGAATTTGCATATACATATGGTTTAAACTTCTTACACTGGGGGTGTGACTCAAGTGGTACAAATAGAAAACCCTAAATTCAAACCCAAGTACTATTAAAAGATTTGTGAGCTGTGAGGTGGCTCAGTGGTAGAATGCTTGCCTTGCATGCATAAGGCCCTGGGTTCGATTCCTCAGCACCACATAAGCAGAAAAAGCTGGAAGTGGTGCTGTGGCTCAAGTGGTAGAGCGCTAGCCTTGAGTTTAAGAGCTTGAGCTTAAGAGTTTAGGTACAGCACCCAGGCCCAGAGTTCAAGCCCCATGATGGACCCCCCCAAAAAAAAAATTGTGCTGGTGGCTCATGTCTGTAATCCTAGCTACTCAGAAAGCTGAGATTTGAGGATTGTGATTCAAAGTAGGCCCAAACAGGAAAGCCTGTGATTCTTTTTTAATTTTTTTTTTTTTTTGTCAGTTGTGGGGCTTTAACTCTGGGCCTGGGCACTGCCCCTCAGCTCTTCAGCTCAAGGCTAGCACTCTACCATTTGAGCCACAGTGCCACTTCTGGTTTTCTGAGTGGTTTATTGGAGATAAGTGTCTCATGGACTTTTCTGCTCCAGCTAGCTTTGAACTGCTATTCTCAGATCTCAGCCTCCTGAGTAGCTAGGATTACAGGTGTGAGCCACCGGCGCACAGCTATCTGTGGACTCTTATCTCCAATTAACCACCAGAAAACCAGAAGCAGTACTGTGGCTTAAGTGGTAGAGTGCTAGCCCTGAGCCTCATGAGCTCAGGGACAGCACCCAGGTCCAGAGTCCAAGCCCCATGACCAAAAAAAAAAGAAAAAAAAAGACTTTATACAGAACAAATTTACTTAATATGCCTGAACATAGCTACCAGAATTCCAAACTGTTCGTCATCAGCTCATATTTTGCTTCTCTAATGTAAAGGTTTTGGTATGTTGACCTGTTAGCAGTTGAAATATAGGATTTCATGGTAACCAGTTTATCACATGTCACTTTCAGCCAGTTTTTTTTTTTTTTCCCGCCTGGTCATAGGGCCTGAACTTGGCCTGGGCGCTGTCCCTCAGCTCTTGAATTCAAGGCTAGCACTCTACCACTTGAGCCACAGTGCCACTTCTGACTTTTTCTGCTTATGTGGTGCTGAGGAATTGAACCCAGGGCCTCATGTATGCAAGGTAAGCACTCTACCACTGAGCCACCTTCCTAGCCCCCTCTATCACTTTGAGCCACAGCTCTACTTCTGGTTTTTGAGTGGGTAATTGGAGATAATAGTTTCATTGGAGTCCAGCGCAGGTGGTTCATGCTTGTAATCCTAGCTATTCAAAAGACTGAGATCTGAGGATATCAGTTCGAAGCCAGTCCAGGCAGAAAAGTCCTCATGAGACTCCTCCAATTAACCACTCAAAAACAAAGTGGCCTGTGGCTTAAGTGGTAGAGTGCTAGAAGAACAAAGAAGCTCAGGGACAGCACCCAGGCCCTTAGTTCAAGCCCAACAGTCGACAAAAAAAAAAAAGCCTCACCAGGACTTTTCTGCCCTGGCTGGCTTCGAATCGCGATTCTCTCAACTCAGCAGCTTGAGTAGTTAGGTTTTAGAATTCTAGGTTGTTAGCCACTGGTGCCCTTTAGAATGAGGTTTCTTACTGACACTTGTCCAAGGTGTACATTGATTTATAGGTTAGATTTTTTCCGCCTTCGAAGTCTTGGTTACAGGCTTCCTTTGGCCTTTTTTTCTGCTTTAAGGATTAACATAATTGTAGGCAATTTAGATCTAATCTTTTCAATTTTCCATTCAGCTCGGCTATTTCCAGGCCATCCACAATACGCACAATTTTCACAAAAGATGTGAAGACCAAACTTTTCTCACCATTCTTCTGTCACAGATGAATTGCATGAAATAGTGAAGACATTTTGTTGTCTTCTTTTAAGTTCTGTTTGAAGCCGGTCACTGGTGGCTCATGTCTGTAATTATAGCTACCCAGAAGGCTGAGAAAATGAGGATTATGGTTCCAAGCCAGCCTGGGAGGAAAAGCCCAGGCGATTTATTCCAATTAACCACCAAAAAAGCCAGAAGTGGAGCTGTGGCTAAAGTGGTAGAGCTCCAGTCTTGAGAGAAAGAAAAATCTCAAGGACAATGCCAAGGCCCTCAATTCAAGCCCTAGGACCACACACACACACACACACACACACACACACACACAATCTTGTTGAAACACAATGGAAAATCCACCAGAGGGAGATGCTTCCTAAAACGTCAGAAAGTATCGCGAAGAACCAGGAGCGCCTCGGGGGGAGCCACTGGGGCGGCCTAAGACGCCGTGGGAGGGAGCAGGTGTGCGTAATTGATTGGTGGGGTGGTGGGGGGAAGGTGAAGAATACCTCCACGTCCCCATCAGCGAAGCGCTCAGTCGAGTTCAGACCGCGAACAGAAGGTAAAGAAGAAAGTGCTGCGGAAGGAGAGCGCGGACAACTCCCCACCGGCCTTGGGATAGTCCCAGTAGAAACCCAGGAGTGGGAAGGCACTTCCGCTTAGCAACCCCACGCTGTTGCTAAGGAGGGGCTCCGGCGAGGATAACCCGGAAGCGATAACGTCAATTTCTCCGGCGGGGGGGGGGCGGGGACGTCCTGCTTTCGGTTTGTCCTATCAGGAGCGCCTGAGTGCTCTGCGGGCTCTGAGCAGTGGGCGGGGCCAACGCTAGTAGTTCCGGCTGGGCTCCGGCCGCCCCCCCCTCCCCTAGGCTCCTCGCCTTCCCCCTCCCTCCCTTCCCCTCCGCCTCCTCCTCTCCTCCCTCCAGCTCTGAGGAACCAGAAGACACCACTACGGGTGGGCAGAGAAGCTCGGGGCACCCCGGGAGCCCACCGCGCCCGCCCCGCTGGAGCCCCGGGAGCACGGCCGGTCCAGGTACTTTGCTCTGTCTTCGACAAGGGTGCGTGAGGGTCGGAGTGTGAGAGAAATGGGTTGTGCGTGTGAAGGCTCGGGTTCGGGGTGTGGGGGACGCCGGGACCCCGGGTGGGGCGCAGGCCGGCGCGTGTGTCTGCGGCGGCGGGGGTTGGGGGGTGGGAATGGAGAGGCCGGGGGCTACTGGGGGGGGTCGGAGAGTTTCGGGTGGCCGGTTAGAGACGAGGCTGAGGGGGGACAGAGGCAGAAGACTTGGGCCAAGTGCGGATCGGGAGTTTTCTACCTGGGGAGAGAGGAGCGAGGACGGAGGTGGGGGTGTGTGTGTGTGTGTGGCGGGGGGTGGGCTTTTCTGAAAACAGGGGGGGGCATCGTTCAGGGCCAGAAGGAGGGCACGAACTCGGAGTGGGGGGTGTGTGTAGAGGGGGAAAGGTAGGTGGCCGGAGCAATTGCAGGCTTCCCATTGATCAAAGCTTTCCCTACCCACCCAAGCTGGGACAGAACCTGGCCTTCGAGGGAATGTCGGCTGGGCACCCGCGGAGCCGCCCTTGGCAGAGCTTAGGTTAGGAGAGTGGGTAAATGAGACCTCCCTCCACCCAACTTCCGTGCGCTTCCCCCCCCCCTCCTTCTTCCTTTCCTGCTCCCTAGCCCCGCGGTCTTTTAACGAGCAGTCTCCCTCCCTCCCTCCCCCCCGCCGTGGGCAGACATCACAGCGTAAAAAGTGAGCAGCGGAACTGGGTTTCTTTCTTCCCTAGACCTACTAAAAAGGATACTTCAGATGGTTGGAAAGTATCGGAATATTCATATTCAGCCAGGTCTCCCAACCCCATCACGATCTGACGGGAGATTTCTTAGAAAAGTGCCGTACTGAAAAAAGCACCTGGACATAGTGAAATGTAGTCTTGTAAAAAGGATGTTCGTACTTACCCCTCCCCTCCCCCCAAAAAAAAGACAAAACAAAACTGGGGGGGGGGAAGAGGTCTACAGGGGACATGTTGAAACAAGCCCTTTCTGAACTCTTTCTTAACCTGTCAGTAAACCTGACCTCGTTTAAATTGAGCAGAAAGTTCCTTCATTTATGTTCCAGTCAGTGACTGAATTGAAGCTACTGTTGTGCGACATGTCTTAGAATAGATACTTGGACATTTGGAGAGACAAGATTCTCTGCTGTTGAGCTGCCTCTTAATCTTTTAAGGAGATAATTGTAGTCAAGTGGAAGTATTGGCTTTGAAGTAGATGAATCTAGGATTGAGCCCAGATTGGGCCACTGAGCTAGTTATTGACCTTGGGCAAATCATACTCCAGTTCAGTTTCATGACTAGAAAGAGTTAAATTCCTGCCAGTGTTGGAAGTGGGATAATGTATTTGAATAACAGCCCATTTTAAACAGAAGCACCTTGGAATTGGAAGGTGAATGCAGAGTAAGGGTAGTCCAATTTAGTGGAATGAAGTTTGAGACAGGAAGGAAACAGGATGATAATAATTCAAAGCTTTTGTATATACAATGTGGCTTTGAATGCCTTTTACAAATTTTATTTGAATTTCTTTTGTGGTTCTGGGCCCATATCCAGGGCCTCTGAAATGTTACACACCTGTTCAGTTCTTGACCTACAACTCTGGCACCTAGAAACTGATTATAAGCAGCATGAAATTCACTTATCAATAACTGAATTATTAAAACTCAGTAAAGTAGGATATATTTTAAAAAACTAAGTGACCAAGACATTTTAATAGGTTTGTCTCAGATACACCATTTTGGTGTATACAGTATGGATTGGTAGGAAAAACATTTTAAAAGTAATGTATGTAAATCTTAACAATCACATGTCTCTAAATAGAATTAAAATTGGTGTATAAAATAGAAAATATTGGTAATTTTAAGATTACCAGTAATATGACGCACCTTAATCAGATTTAGGCTAAAGTAGCAAAACTTATGTCATATATAATCTGTAAAACAAGTGAAAATGGAATAAATTTCTGCCTTTAAGTTATTCATCATTAGAATATAGGTATAAGAACAAGAAAGATGAAATCTATATATTTGCTTCATTTAAAATAATAGTTATATGTAACCAAATGTATGTCAGGTTTTCAATTTTTTTTATCCTAGGTACTGGGGAACTTGTGGCCATTGAAATCATGTCCTGGTGCCTACTTCTTGAGCCACACCCCTAGTCTGTTTATTCTTTTTTTTTTCTTCCTGTCGTGGGGCCTGAACTCTGAGCCTGGGCACTGTGCCTCAGCTCTTCAGCTCAAGGCTAGTGCTCTACCACTTTGAGCCACAGCGCCACTTCCAGCTTTTTTTACTTATGTGGTGCTGAGGAATCAAACCCAGGGCCTCATGCATGCAAGGCAAGCACTCTACCACTGAGCCACTTTCCCAGCTCCTGTGTTTATTCTTAGTTTACTGTTGTCCTGCCCTAGATGGTGATACTCCAGCCTTTGACTCTCAAGTAGTTGGGATCACAGGCATGAGCCACAGACTTGGTTTGTTTTTGAGATAGGGTTTCCATATATATTTATTTTTTTTTTTGTTGATTGTGGTGCTTGAACTCTGGGCCTGGGTGCTGTCCCTTAGCTCTCCAGCTCAAGGCTAGTGCTCTACCACTTGAGCCACAGTGCCACTTCCAGCCTTTTCTGTTAATGTGGTGCTGAGGAATCGAACCTAGGGCTCATGTATGTTAAGCAAGCACTCTATCACTGAGCCAACTTCTCAACCCTTCCATAATTTTTTCCTGGGCTGGCTTGCAACCTTGATCTTTGTGTCTCTGTCTCCCAAGTACCAGGGATTACTGTGCTCAACCTTCAGCTAACTGTGTGTGTGTGTGTGTGTGTTTAAATTTAACTTATAATTAGTAATTTAAAAAATTAAATTTACTGTTTTTCATAAGAACATAAAGGGGGCAGGGAATGTGGCTTAGTGGAAGAGTGCTCAGCTAGCATGCATGAAGCCCTGGGTTCGATTCCTCAGTACCACATACAGGGAAAAAGCAAGAAATGGTTCTGTGGCCCAAGTGGTAGAGTGCTAGCCTTGAGCAAAAGAAGCTCAGTGCCCAGGCCCTGAGTTCAAGCCCCAGGACTGGCAAAAAAAAAAAAAAAGAACATAAAGGACAGTCTTTAAGCTCCTCTATTTGCTGTTAGGGAGCAGAAATGTATCCATTTCTCCTACTTTAACCCTGTTACACTAAAATAAATCCTTGCTAAAACTTAAAAAAATGCTTTAATAGTTTAATTTGCTTTAATAGTTTGGTGTTTATGTGTGAGCTCACATGCACGTGCGTGTATATAAAATATTCATATAAAGTTTTCAGTTCAGTGTAACTTTTCAGAGAGGTAAGTTTTAGGCAAATTTGAGTGAATTTTCATAGCATGTGTTTTTTCCTCATATCACTTAAACAGTTAAAGTTGTATATTTTTGGTAAGGCCATTCAACTCTATAAATGCCATCTAAGGGGTGCAGTTTTAAATATGTATGTATGCTTTATGCTTTGTTTTCTTGGCTCATTATTTTTCAGAATCTTTTGAATCTTTTTTTTTTTTTTTGTGGTCGTGGGGCTTAAACTCTGGGCCTGGGCACTGTCCCTCAGCTCTTCAGCTCAAGGCTAGTGCTCTACCACTTGAGCCATAGTGCCACTTCCAGTTTTCTGGTGGTTTATTACAGATAAAAGTCTCACGGACTTTCAGGCACAGACTGGCTTTGAACTGCAGTCCTCAGATCTCAGCCTCCTGAGTAGTTAGGATTACAAGCTTGAGCCACTGGCACCCGGCTTTATTTATTTTTGTAGGTTGGTCGTGGGGCTTTAATTCTGGGCCTTGGCACTATCCCTCAGTCCTCAGATCTCAACCTCCTAAGTAGCTAGGATTATATGCAGGAGCCACCAGTACCTGGCTAAATATCAATTTATTTTTATGTGATTAGAGCTACAGTTCTGTGTAAATCATATATAATGGACAGAGACTGTTGTAGGAGATGCTTTTCCCGATGACCTCTTTCACTCAGAGTATGTAACCATTCCAAGGATCTTGCAGTTGTTTGTTGTGGAATTTGCTTGTCAGGAAATCTAAAAATGACTAAACCTTCCTTCAATGTCTGTCTCTTTGATGATCTCAAAAAATTTTATATGAGACTGGGAGGACATATATACACATATTTACATATATTCTCATGCCCATATATAGTATATACAGTATATATATGTATATATATATTATAATATATATAATGAGCAGCATGCAGTTGTTTGTTTGTTTTTGGTGCTGCCAGATCAGGAATGAAAGAGAATTACTGTGGAAATGTGAAGAAAAAAAATGTTCAGGCAGTGTTTTCCTTATGCTCAAACAAATGAGTATATTTTTCGGAGCTTGTTTCCATTTTAAGGATATTTATTTTGTGGAGATAATGATTGAGTTTCTAATGAGGTTCAATAATCTTTATATTGAGGGAAAATAGATGACATTATAATTAGATTTTTCTAGTACCAGTTTTAATAGTAATAGCTTTGGTAGTTCTAAAGAAGTAGATTTTCCTGACAGAACTTTTCAATTTGTAGAATGAGAGTTCTCTTTTTAACATTTAACTTGTCCCTATCCATTTGGGCCTAACATCAAAACTTGAAAGATGGGAGTTGGAGTGGAAATGGGTGAATTTACTTCAGAATTAATCATTTTAAGTTTTACAGATTTAGAAAGTTTTAGAAACCTAAGTTGGATTTGGACATTATTGGCATTGTGTTCAAGATGGATCTGGGGGGAAAAATATATGCCATCTGTTTCAGATTCCTTCTTTCTCAACCTTTCCTGTGTGTTTTGTAGCTTTCAACTCATCAAACTATTAAAAAAAAAATAAAAACCTCCAGGGGCGGGGGGAGTTGGGGAGGTGGGGAGGAAAGGATGGTAGGGGAAAAACAAAAGAGGAGGTAACAATGCTCCTGTAACTGTAACCCCTCTGTACAGTATCTTTATAATAAAATATATATACAAAAGATAAAAACCTCCAGTAAGTT